TACAATCTTGCTTTTGCTCACAGCACTCAACAGAAACTGCCCTACTAAAACTCACTAACGATTTACTAACTGCTAAAACCAATGGCCACTACTCCATACTCTTACTACTAGATCTCTTTGCGGTCTTTGATACTGTTGACCACCCACTCCTTCTCAATAAACTCCACTGCCTTGGTCTCCGAAATGCAGCTCTATCCTGGTTCTCCTCCTACCTATCACAGTGCTCATTCAGTGTTACCTCCAACTCTATCTCTTCCTCTCCACTTCCTCTTTCTGTAGGGTCCCCCAAGACTCTGTTCTTGGACCCCTTTTCTTCCTCTATCTACACCTCCTCTCTTGGTCACCTGATAACCTCCCATGGCTTCAAATACCACCTCAATGATGATGACACCCAAATCCTTCTCTCTACTCCTCACCTCACTCCTTCACTCTCCTCTTACATTACTAACTGACATCAGCATGGATGTCCCACCACTTCCTTAAACTAAATATCCCTAAAACCGAGATGAAAATATTCCCTCCTCCTCATGTACTCCTACATGACTTTTCAATCAAGATACAACTATCAGTCCCTCCCCTCAAGCCAGGGTACAAGGTGTAGTCCTAGACTCTGACTTATTCTTTCAGCCGCAGATCCAATCACTGTCAAAAGCTTGTAGACTTCACCTCTGTACCGTCTCTAAAATTTGCCTCTTTTTAACCAATGAAACCACCAAGCTACTCGTTCACTCCCTTGTTATCTCTTGCCTTGACTATTGCAACTCCCTTCTCATAGGCCTTTCTCTCCGTTGGCTATCCCTCTTCAGTCTATCATTAATGCTGCTGCCAGGATAATCTACCTTACCAACCACTCAGTGTCTGCAACCCTCTCTGCCAATCCCTTCACTGGCTTCCGATTGTCGAATGACAAAATGCTAACAACAACATACACTCACCCTTTTTTTTACCTTTTTTTGCATGTCTGAGCTGCTGATTGCTTTCAGTCTCTTTCATCCACTTCATACTTTGAACATCATTACTCAGGACCGACCTACTAATAGTGGTAATGTTTGACCATGCCTGCCCAATGCACTGTCATAGCCACTTGTAGTCTCCATCAGAAGCACATATGACATGATAACAACACCGGAGCACAGATGACAGATAGCTGTTACCCAATAAAAGAAAGTGACTAAACAGGGACCTCCTTGGCACAATTACCAACTGTTCTTTTAATTATTAATCTTTTAATTATTTCCAACATATTATTATTAGCAGTATTATTATTTTTGTATGTGGTTGGGTTCCCAGGTTATATTACACATGGTACATGGTTAGTTAGATTTCATAAGTCTTTTAACAGCATCTAATTAGCTTCAGAACCTGTATTCTCAGCGTGCTTCCTGGCAGCCATGACTACTCCGTTTCTTGATGGCATATTTCCAAATCTGTGTGATCAAATCCTTTTTTTTGTTTTTCATTGTACCACTCTTCTTTAAAATATTAACTGATGAACAGAGGATAAAAGAAAATTAGGTTTCCTTTATGACACGAGAGAGAGGCAATATCAAGGGAAAGATTTTGGAGCAAAAAAGTAGCTGATAGAGAGAACTGCAGCTGCTTGGTTTGTCACTAAGTAATGGAAAATCTACCATTTAATGCCTTAACAATGTAATTGTCCTATATTCTTCAACATCATTCTAATTATCACTTAAACCTAATGACTTTCAGTCTATGTAATTGTAACTAACGGCATGCTTAGATACTAATGCTACAAAGTACCTGACGGAATGTTGGAAACAATTTGATGTAGCTGTTTTTAATTAAAAATATACACATGCTCTCTCTAAGGACACAGCTGGGTTTTTACTATCATAATTATGAATATGGTGTGTGCCTAGATGAAAAACCAAGTCAGTAAGCACTTTATACGGTGTAGTATTGCTCTCTTTTTCCTGGAAGCTCAGATTTATAATGTAGTCCGTAATTGTCACTATCCATGTAATATCAAAACTCATAAAATATTTACGCTGTGGAACTTTCAATAAACTTTTCTTAACCTACATAGCCTGGCCACACAATGGATTTGTTAAATTATTCATAAAAAGTTCACTGTACACATTTAAGTTACCTTTTAGCATATTGTACAATTTGCAAACATTCTCACAAACTTCTGCAATAAATAGAATTTGGCAGTTTTGTCACTTTCCTAGCATATCAATGTCAAACCCTGTTTAACTCTTGGCTGTTCTGAAGAATATATGAATACTAGATTTTGATGGTGGCTTAGCAGCTATATAAAACTCAAACTTCTGGTTTTCTATTAATTTCCAATTGTTTTCGGGAGTACAGTTGTAAAGTATACTGAGAAAGAATATATCTCATTTTATGTCAGGTGTTGCAAGCAGCTTATATGATTTGGTTCCAAATTCATGGTGGCCACAGGCAATAGAGTTCAGTGTGGGAATCATATTCAAGTATGCTCGATATCAGAATCCATACAGCTGAAATGGTCTAATTTTGGCTGCCATTCCTTATTTATTGTAATGATACTAGTAATGGGTGCCCCAATGTTGCCTTTTTTAGCAGACGATGGAAACTTATGGAAGTCAATTCCAAAGGACAATGATGGCTATGTGAACCGCTAATAAATCTTACAATGCTAGAGGGGCAGTATCTTCATATTACAACTTGGTACTTAAGTGAATTCTTAATAGTGATACAATTTTGGTAAATAGACTTCACTGTTTCAGTTAGTTATGGAGAATCACATTTACAGGCCTAAATAGTATTTGATGAGTGATCACATGACTCATTCCATACTTTACATCAACGAACCGATTCCTGTTGGCAGCAAACAGCAGTAAAATGCATATTGCTAAAAATGATAGCCTTGCTCAAGGGAGGGCATTCAAGGTAATATCAATTAAGCCATAAATATGAGGGTCTAGAATAACATGCTTTTTGTTCCCTTTTACGGTGAATTGGGAACCCTGTGTGCCACTGTGTTGGGGTCCCCTAAGGCACAGAGCTTAAGGAGTTTCTGAACTCCACCAAGAAAGCTGCCCTTGTGATTGGTCTTTGAAGATGCATGTTCCAGGTCTATCATTTATATCTTTGCTTCTCCACTTAGTAAGTCACTGAATGGGAGCAACCATGCACATCAGGAGTGATGCATCAGGTGTACACACCCTTGGAAGGTACATGCTTGTATCAGCTCAGTAACTTCCCTCTTTGCAAAACAAAAACCATAAGAATGACAACCTCACTGCTTACACCTTAAGGGCTAGTTTACGCTGCATCCGAAATGCACAGAAAGTAGGTTATATAGTCAATGTCATAGTTCACATCAGTGCTTACAGTTGCAGAAAAAAATTAGAACATGCTGCATTTTTCATGCACAGAACTGCATCATAAATGCATCGAAACGCACTGGAATGCACCAAAAATGCACTGTAACGCACTAGAACTCACATGTCCCTATTTCAATTAAAGAAAAATAGAGGGAAAAAATGAACTGGAATACATAAAAAAACACACTGGAATGCGTCAGAATGCACCAAAACACGTAAAAAATGCACATGCGTTTATATAGTGTGAACCGGCCCTAAAAATCCAGCAGTGATGGCTACTGTATTTTTATCCTGACAATTTCTTGAAAATGCTCAATATATTTCGGAGAGTAACAAATTAATTACGTACAGTAGATCAAGCTGTGATTTCAACTACAGCTTCCCAAACCAATTCTGACAATTCCGTCTTGTAAAAATCAGCATTGTTTGCTAGAAATTTACTTAGAACCCCCAAACATTATGTATTTTTTAAGCAGATTCCATAGAGAATAAAATGGTGATTGTTGCAATTTTTTATCTCACACTCAAACGCAAACGTTTTGGGGAAAAAATACACTTTAATAAAATTAAAGTGAACACCAACACAATATAATACCTATTTTATGGTAAAATATAAAATATAAGATGATGTTACACCAAGTAAATAGCTACCAAAACATGTCACGCTTTACAATTGCGTACACCCATGGAATGACAAATTTTGGTACTTTAAATAGGTGACACTGTAAAAGCCTTTGCAGGTTACCAGTTTAGAGTTACACAAGAGGTTTGGCCCTAGAATTATTGCCCTCACACTGACGTTAAAGGTGATACCTCACATATGTGGAGCAATCGCTATTTACATATGTGTGTGGGACCGACATGTGCACTCACCTTTGCATGTGACCATGGTGGGACAAGAACACTTTAAACATTTTTAAAATTTCATTACTTATTTTGTTTAATTTTTTTATTTTCACATTTTACCTTTAATTATTTTTAGCACTTTTATTGCTATCACAAGGGATAAACAACATCCCTTGTGATACCATGTATTGTGACAGGTCCTCTTTATGGAGAGATCTGGGTTCTAATAGACCCCAGATCTCTCCATAAAGAGGACCTGTCTCAATACCTTTCCTTTGGCCTCCAAAGCATCAGATCAAACCAAGACTGGTTTGATCTGCTGCTTCACATGCCGGCAATGGCTTTTTAAACCCAATATTTCTGACGTCACACAGTGGGAGGAACAACATCAGTTCCTCTCACTTTTCCTGAGGAAGCAGATACCGTCAGTCACATCCTTACCAGGCTCCCCGATTGGGCGGAAGTAATCCAGCAGCTATATAGCCACTAAAACAAGCTTTCAGGGTATGTCTCCTTCTTCAAGGTCCAAGCAGTACCAATACTCAAAGTTTTAGCAGAATGTTAAAGTAAGACAATCTATATATATAATATATATATATATATATATATATATATATATATATATATATATACACACGTGATTTTGCATTTCCGGGTAGAGGGTGCCCGCGCGCCCTACCCGAGCCACCATTCGCGGCCGCAGATGTCAGTCACCGGGTCCTAGCCGGTAATTACCCGCTGGCGCCCAGTGATTACCAAGCATCTCCGATGAGGAAGAAGATTGTTTTGTTTACAAACAATCTTCCTCCCTGTCAGCTCGAGCACACTGCAGCCATCCTGATCAGTGTGCTTACAGTGAAGAACACCCCCCCCCCCCCCGTCCCCTAGTAAAACACTCCCAGCACACAGTTAACCCTTTGATCACCCCTCACATGAATCCCTTCCTGCCAAATGCCATTATTACAGTGTCAGTGCTTTTTGTTTAGCACTGATCACTGTATTGGTGTCACTGGGCTATCAGTGACACCAAGTTAGTTCCCCCCCAGTGTCAGAATGTCCGCCACAGTCCCGCAGTCCTGCTAAAAGTCGCTGATCGCCACCATTACTAGTGGAAAAAAAAATCCCATTATTTATACCGCCATTTGTAAACACTATAACTTTCACATAAACCAATTAATTTACATTTATTTGGATTTTTTTTTAGCAAAGACATGTAGCAGAATACATTTTGGCCTAAATGTATGAGGAAATTTGGTTTTTTAAATTTTTTTTCTGGACATGTTTAATAGCAAAAAGTCCAAAATATTGTTTTTTTTCTCAAAATTGTCTTTTTTTGCTTATAGAGCAAAAAATTAAAAAACGCAGAGGTGATCAAATACCACCATCTTGATGGTCAAGATGGTGTTAATGATGTGATTAAATAATAAAATGTAGAAGGGGAGGTTGGGTGTTTGTTTGAAAGCCAGTATTGGGGGTTGATGGAATATTTCTTTCAGAGTTTCATCCTCTGTTATGATGGGTTGTAAATCTTTGATAATCTTTCTTATCCCATCTAGTGCTGTATTGTATGTGGCTACAATTAACATTTTTTCTCTTTGTATTTGAGTAGATTTTCTGTTTGGGTTTTCAAGGCTGGGTTTATGCTGGTATTGATAGTTTTGTTCTTGTAACCCTTCTTATGCAAAGAATCTGACAGTCTCTGAGATGTTTTTTTCTGTCTTCTGGATCTGAGTGTATTTGGTGGTACCTGATGGCCTGGCTGTGTATGATGGCCTGGTTAGTGTATTAGGGTGAAAATTGGAACTATGGAGATAGTTGCATCTGTCAGTGGGTTTCCTGTATATTGAGATGTGAAGATGTGAAGCTTGTCATCCCTGATGTGTACTGTAGTATCTACGAGGTTGACATGTGTGTTTGAATACAGCTACAATCACCTTTTACCATGTAGGAAATTGCTTACTGTAAACAATTAGAATGTGATCAATGTTGTAGCCTCAACCATAATTCCAATATTACCACTTCAATACAAGACCGTATATATACACGTATAGCCATATTGAAGCAATTAAACATGTACAGAAGTCCCTTTTTCTGTACATTACTAAATGTTGTAATATACACAGGTACATCACACTTCATCCCTCTTCCCATTGTAGTAAAACAGGCATTTGGTTATCGTTCATCAGAAATAAATACAGAATTAGTGACTGTATTCAATTTATATAAATGTAATGTCAAAGTGTTTTTAGAAATGAACTTGACACTGCGGACCTTTGGCACCTATTGTGTGGTTCTCAGACCTTTGAAGATAATAATGGTGGAAGGATCACTATAAGCATTGAAGATTCTCAATCAAAAGTTTTTTCGGGGCATTGGACTTTTCTTTTTTATGTGTTACTTCTTCTTTTTTATGTGTCACTGATTTTTTTCTTTTTTTCTTTTTGTATGGGTCACTTGATTTTTTTAATATTTTATGTACCACTGGACTTTAAATTTATTTTAATAATTAATTAATTTTTTGTGTGACACTTATACCAAAATGTAATGGTTATTATTTATTATTGCTCACTTATTGTTGTGAGGTAATTTGTGTTTTGTGCTGGTTTATATTGAAAAAATTAACTTTGAAGATAATAGTCTGTGTTTTGGTGCTTACTGAAGCCACAGTAAAGGAAAAATATTCTTTAGGCTGACTTCTAGTAGTCAAAGTTTATCTATAGCCAAAACAATTATTCTTTTTAGTTTTGCATAATGTGGGGAAGGGTAAGAGTCCCTGCCAGGTTTTTTCTTCTACTCGCAGCTCTGAAGGCTTTCCTTCACTTCCTGTTTGGTGAAAAGAATGTCCTTGAGACAGTGAGTGAGGATAAATCTCCCTAATGTACACTCGGACCGCAGAAATACCTAACACAGGGGTATCACCCTTCCTTGCTTCTGTTCCCAGTCTCCAACAACTAATTATTTATGTTTGAAATCTCTGATCTGCAGTCTTTAAACATTTCATGTAGGATACCCATAGTATCATTGGTTAACCACTTCCCGTCTGGCCCATGTACATAAACAGCCAGAAGGGAGCAGTGCAGGAGCAGATTGTCGTTCATAAATGGTGCCCGCATTTTCAGCCTGGAAGCGCGTGGCACCACGGTTCAGTGCCCACTGGGTCCTCCGGACGCAGCAGAACACTGATCGCTGTACGGGACCTCTGTGTGAGGTCCCGATCATGTGGTCACGGATTGGCCAATCAGTGATCACATCAATAGCAGTAAGCAAGATGTCACTTCTGACATCATTGCTTACTACTAGTGAAATCTGTGAATGATCACAGAGGTCACACGGTACAAGATTATTCACAACAGCCTTGTATCATGTGACAAGCTGTGACCAATCAAAGCTCTCACAGTATTTCTCAATGACTGCAAGAATGCAGCCAGAGAGAAGGAGAAATGATTGCTTTTACAGCCTTTATGGGTGTAAAAGCAATCAGTGTAAAAAAAAAAATCTTCATCACCCCCCACAAGTAGTACAGTGGCACTATGGCGACACTGTTCTACTAGGGTGACAGTATGTTAAAAAAAGCAAAAAAAACAAAAACAAAAATATTAATACAAAAAAATACAAATATAAAAAAACTAAAAAGATAGCTGAACACATTTTGGCCAAGATTTATGAAGAAAGATTATTTATTTGCAAAATAAGAAAAACACTTTTTTTCAAAATTTTGGGATTTTCTCATTTATATAGCAAAAAAAAAAATACAAATCCCAGTGGTGACTAAATACCAACAAAATAAAGTTTTATCTGTCTCAAAAAATGCTGAAAAAATGCATATGGGTACAGTGTTGCATGACCACACAATTGTCATTCAAAGTGTGACAGCTCTGAAAGATGAAAATTGGCCTGGGCAGGAAGGGGATAAAAGTGTCCAGACTTGAAGTGGTTAACATCGCATTCACTGAATACTATGTGTGGTCCTTTCATAATTATGGAAGCTGCCTTTGAGGTACCCTGTATTAAATAATTTGGCCACCACTGCTTTAAAGGGAATAGCTATTTTCAGGATTGTCAATTGACAACATATAAGTAGTATCCTGAATGTATGATATGCTATCACTCTAAAACGTTGTTTTATAAGTCAGAGCTTTTCTTCCCTTTTTATTTTATTCTTTAAAGCTGAATCTTGGCACTTTGATAACCAGAATGCCCTCATTGCCCTTATATTTGAGTTTCAGTTCTCCCAGTGGAAAAATAATTCTAAAAATGTTTTTTGCTAAAAGAACAATATGCTCACAAGTCAACCAAGATAAACCAGACACGTTGACAGCAGATTGTTGTACTTTTCTCAACAAACAAAATATTTCCTTGAATAAACTTTTATGAAAAAGTTCTTTAATAATATTTCATTGTTTAGTGTTCTAAATTGAACACATCGCAGATGAAGGAAGATCACTGAGTGGTGGAGCAGGCCAAAACAATGCAGAAACTGCTTGTGCTTTTTAAATGCATGCTGCCGTTGTATGACTGTACAGTGGTAAAGCTCTAGCCATAATGAAGAACAATATTCCAAAGGCTACAAGTTGTATTGGTATTACATTCTAATATTTATCTGAACACTGACACTATAGGGGAGATTTACTAAAACTGGAGCACTCAGAATCTGGAGCAGCTGTTCATGGTATCCAATCAGCTTCTAACTTTAGCTTGTTCAGTTAAGATTTGACAATAAAACCTACATGCTGATTGATTTTTCTGCAGAGCTTCATCAGATTTTTCACTCTCCAGTTTTAGTAAATAAGCCCCTATTGGTGAAACGTAGCACTTTTATTCAGGAAACAGCTGCATACAGAAACTTGCTTTATTGTGGCATGTTCTCTTCAACTAATATCTTCATTTTGAGTACATTTATTGTAAAACTGGTTACAAATTCCTGGCATATACAAAGTTTAAGGGAAGGGTTTTCAAGAAAATAGAGTGATTTCTGTGTTTGATTACAGTCCATTTTATATACTGTATATTCAAAAATGTATGGTTTGGAAGACTAAGGGCTCATTCACACATATGGGCATTGACCTGGATTTTTCTGCACTAAATGAATGCAGATTACCACACCCCGTTCACATCACAACACTGGTGTGTTGTAGTCATATGGATATGTACTGTAAAAAAATGCAAGTAGGGTTTTTTTCCTGTTAAGATGAAAAGTGTTTGACCAACCAACCAGATTGCTCTACATTTATGGGGAGAAACTATATATCAAGGAAGGAGTTTGGACTGCTGACACAATAGTATGGAAGGTTCATGATCTAAGAAATTATCATTAGGAAGCACAGATCTAGAAGATAATATACATTACTACATGCATGGAATCTACTAGTGCATAGAATAGGTTGGATATACAGAATATGTTGGATCGGTGGAGTGCCTCTATGCTTGCCATGATAGAAAGAGCAAAGAGAAAGTATTTTTAATGGGACTCTGAGGGCTTCTTAGCATTGCAATATTAACAAATACTCTGCTGGATTTTGTCATCTGTTCTGGAATCCAATAAATGCTAATCTCTCTGGTAAAGAACCTTGTTGCTACAGGGATACCTATTAATCATCATCTATATACTGTATTTACACACTGGCAAAACGTTGGCCGGTTTCTGTTGAACCAGCCGATACCTGCCAATATTTGGCCAGAGTGTACCAGCCTTTACGGTGAACATACAGAGAAGGCCCAAAAGGTGTTGTCTGACAGAGATATTCATACAAAGTAGAAAGCACATACATGATTGGTCAACAGTGTTTACATACATTAGACAGCTTTATAAGAATAAATAATTTGGATGGGATGTCACACTACAGATAAACAACAAAGTACAGGATAACCTTTGACATATGCTAGCAGATGGTCATGTCATAAAATATTCTAACTTTCCTGTTCTGGCTACCTCAAAAGGTCTTGAAGAGTTCATGACACAAGAGTCAACTATTGATTAACTCAAGGCTATTTTTATATTTTTTTTGATAATCAGGGTCATTTCTTTATTACTTTCCCCTTTGCATTAGCTAACATTTAATACTCATATATACA